ATCAATTGTCTGTGACCTCGCCATTATCTATATGTGACCAAGATCTCAATGTGTGACCTGAATGTTGACATCTCAACTGATTGTTGCATGTGGCCTGATTGTTGACAGTATTTATTTATACATCTGTGATCGTACGCATTATGAACAATGATGCCTACATTTGACTAATATGTCAAATGTGACTGTGGCTTACATGGTTTGTGGCTTGAATGCACAACAAAAATGTATGCCAGTAATTGGTTTGTATCATGATTTGAATATAGAACATGATACTCATGGCATGTGACCTACGTGACTTGAATGCACAATAATTGGCTTTATTGTGTAACAATGCATACCTACGTGACCTCATTCAATTGAATATAGAACATGATACTCATGGCATGTGACCATGATAATCATCTGTGACTAAGTTTTGTTGTAGCATTACACATGCCTGTGACCAAATTATTTCTGGTTATACAACAATGTTAATATATCTGTAGCCAGAGTACACAGTTGCATACATCTAATTGTGTGTGATTTCCCTACATTTACTTAACATTGGGTCTTTCTAAACAATTTTGTGCAGGATTGGCAATATATCATACCGAAGGAACGATGGTTCCCAGGCAAGATTACAACATCAGTCAACAATGGTGTACTTTCAAGTATCCAAGCAAAATTATCTGACCGACAGAAGCTCATTATGAAGGGAACATGCTTTGCCCATTTTCTCGACTGCCATAAAATTGTGGTACAACCACAATTAATTCACTACTTCCTCTTGCGGCAGGTCCAACAACCTAATCCTAAAGAGTTGTGGTTTTTAGTTGCTGGGCGTTATGTTAGATTCTCTATATCTGAGTTTTGCATAGTCACGGGGCTGAGATGTTCTGGCGATAGTGACACGGACATTTTTGAAAGTAGACAGTCACAACTGAAGAATAAGTACTTTTCCCAAGTCGATATCGTGACACATGAAGATGTGAAGTCCACATTCATATCTGCTTGCCAAATGCCTGATCTGGATCTTGTTGAAACTCTCCCGGATCATGATGTGGCACTCATTGGTATCCTGTACTTCATTACTGCATACTTATTTCCTAGAGATTATAAGAAAGTGGTTGACCATTACTTGTTCACTCTTGTTGAGGACTTCCCCGCGCTGAACAGTTTTCCATGGGGAAAATTACTGTTTGAGATTACTTTGAGTTCTTTAAAAGATGCATTGAGTCGACAAACCGCACATTATAGGCTACGAGGTATGTTGGTAGCCTTTCAAGCATGGATCTACGAAACCTTCCCTGACCTAGATGAAGTTATTGTCACAAGGGTATCGAGGACGCACCCTCGAATCAATAACTGGAATGCAAACGAGCAACCTTCTGCATCTAAGTTGGAAGAGCTGGGCTACTTCAACAAGCCTAATGTAATGTTTCAGTAATCCATATTCTGCTGATAGTGGAACATATGGTAAACTTATTGGTTCTCTAATATTTTACTATAATGCAATGCAGATTGAAATATGTGACCTGATGCCTACTGAAACTGAAATGGCAATGCCATACATGGATGGCATGCAGCATAACAAAACAATTCAACCAGAGTTTTCTCAGAGCAGCCGTCGAAAGGAAAGCAGGAAGGGAAAGTCTGTTGATCCTTCACACATGAGTGAGAAATCAGTGCCTTTGGTAACGGACACTGGTGTTAGAAAGGCTCACATTACAAATGATGATGACGATTTTGTGGATCCTCCACGACAATGTGAGGGGCTATCCCATCAAGAAACACCCCGTGCTGATGAAGGCCCTTCAGGTCCCCAACTTTCTCCAAATGAAGAATAACATCATAGGATCCAAGAGAGTGCTGTAAGATTATTTTTATTTCTGTTCAATTGTTTTCAAATTGTGGTCATAGTTCACATAGTACTAGTCACAGTTCACTTAGTACTGGTCACAGTTCAATTCTCATGGTCACAGGCATCTTTTATAAGGTCACATTTAACTATTTATCTTAATCATGTTTACAGGTGCTTCACGATTTGAATGCGCAACTTTCAGAACTTCAATCACAGAATAAAGTATTAACCGTGGAGATGGACGCCATCAAGTCACAGATGTCGAGCCTCAACTCTGATTAGGCAAAAAAAATGTCTGAAATCATCCTAATACAAGGATAGTTAAAACATGACATGATCGAGATTAGGACGAACATGCAATTCCTGTCTGAATCGGTGACTGCAATGATCTCAAGCTCCACGGATGAGATATTAAGGCGATTCAATGATAGGAAAGGTTGTCCAGTTAATGAGTATGAAGACACGGAAGCTGCTGTCGAAGGATTCGAGAAGATCGACGAGGTAGGTACATGATATGTTCAATCTATCTATCACTGAACATAGTTACAGATTTCATGTCTGAAATTCTCCAATTTCACATACAGGTGGAAAAACTGCAACATGTTGTCGACGGGAAAGGGAAGGGGAAGGTCGACCCAATTGAAGATGTGCCTTTCCTAGTAGTCTTGAACCGCCATCATTTGACCTGGGTATCGAATACACACAACCAGATGATTTGGAGTCTTCAGAAATTCAAAAGCAGGTAGATGCTGTCATATCTGATGTGATCACAGCATCCCAAAATGTTGACGAAGAGGTATTCAAATTATTTTTTTTAGTGTAATATGCTAGTCACACAATGTGTACATCAAATTTATGTAAACTAAATGTGACCTTTACAAGTCACAGGGATCACCAACTACAGAACCGGCATCTGCATTACCAGTTAAGCGGGCTTCAAGGCCTGCGAGGATACTGCGGTCCACATTTGTTGTCAGGGAAGGAAAGGTACTGCGGCATAACGGTAATGTTATTGTATTTGGAAATTATAAAGACCATGTTGATGAAGTTGATAAATCAGCATTCTTGGGTTGGTTTCAGAGAGGGTACAAACCCAAAAACAGGTATGTACATGTTTCTTATATTTTCAAATATACTGGTCACACAGTTACAGTATCTTGACAGTCAACTTTTAGCAACAGGAAAAAGTTTAATGAGTAAGATGACCAAATCAAACCAGCCTTTAGTATTGGCTTATACCCTGTCGGTCACAAGACATGGTTTCATCAGTTGATAAATGCAGAAACGTCTTTAAGTGGCTCGGTATGGTAATGCTTATCTATCTGTTCACTACACATTTCCTTGTTAACCAGTCACACAACATTAAGAACCTCATACAACACTATGCACATACTGCTGAGCAGCACACTGTCATAGAGTTATAACTTTTTAATGTTGTACCTAACCGTGTCCTTCATGTTCAAACAGCACATGGATGCATGCTTCTACTATATTCGCCAGGTAGCAAAATTTGGGAAAGTAAAGTTAAGAGCTACAACGACGGACTTGTGGTTCCAAAACAAGATAAAAGATATATTTCCCGCTTTCCAAAAAGACCCTCAAATTCTGTTGTCGGAGAGCAGCATGATTAAGGCTGTCACAGGTCGCTTGATATCCCTAAGCACATCTTGGGCTGATGTAGACTATGTGTTCATACCACTCCTGCCCACGAACAAAGCTCACTGGATGCAAGGTCTGGTAGAATTTAAAAGCCATACTTTGATGCTATTCAATTCATCTGGAAAAGCGTATCGTGATTGGAATGTGCTGGAAGGTATTGAACCCTATGTGAAGGTATTGCATGCTCTTATGAAAGCATTGGGAATTTCCAAAAAAAAGACCCCGATCACAACGAATCTGAATGCAAGCAAATGAAGGTGACCATTGACAGTACCCTGCCTCAACAAACGAATGGGTAAGTATGTGACCAACTACAGCAGTATAACTTGTAAATTAATTAATTCGTAACATACTATAATGTGTGCTTTTACAGTCATGACTGCTGGGTGTTTGTGATATTGTATGCATTGTATATCCTCCGTGATGGCAGATGTGCTATTCTCCATAAGTTCGATGCTGCAAAATGTAGAATTGATATCGCCTCACTACTCTACAAACACCGAGAACCTTACGTGAAGAAGGCGAGGCAGACTTTTAAAGGGGAGGGGATTGTAATAGAATGACAAATATGAAAACATTTGTAAATGAGTTTTATGCTTCAGTTGATAGCATTTTATATTTCTTTCAAGCAATGGAGGTGTTTGTACTCAATACTGTCATGTGGATGTGAATATGCTTTTGTAATACATGGGTGCCCCAACCTTCATTTGTTAATATGTTGTTGCAATACATGAATACATAGTTGTGCTTTTGGTATATGATTTATTTTTTAATGCCGTGTGTAAATTTGTTCACATATCAACAGTATCAGGTCACAGATTTAATATTCCATTTGGTGGGAGTTACTTTGGCATGATATATGTCGATAATAGGTCACATGTGATATACCTAGCAAGTCACGAATTTAGCACACATAATATATGATGCAAAGATCAGGTCACAAGTCGAACTGTACCTCGAACATTAGGTCACAGTACCATGTCACAGATTTAGTATTGCTTTTGGTCGGCGTTTCAGTTTGTCATTACATATGTTAATAACAAGTCACATAGTAAATAAAAGGTCACATACCTGGCCACTGATTTGGTTGTGATTTTGGTCACAGTTTTTGTTTGCCATGGCACATGTCAAGAACAGGTCACATATCAATTACAATAGCCTGCCAAGAGTTGATCACAGTACATTTTATTTAAGGAATCTGTGACCTGGACATATATTTGTTCTCCACCACGTTTAGGTCACATTTCATGCCTTTAAGTGAATTAATAGTCACAATTCAAATATATTGCTGTGTATGGAATCTATAATCACAAATTTACAAAACTCTATGTTCAACCGAATAAAAAGTGCAGATGTATTTCATTTATCATTTATTACCTTACTATTTAAAAATTATTTGTCAATTGATCAATTGAAACACATGTCTACATGTTGGTATGCTAAAAAGAATTCAAGAATGCGACCTAACTTTGATAAGTCTTTATCATGTATTGACTTCCTATCAACCGTTCTTACTTAATGGGACCAAACTTAAGCACCTCCTGCGGTTGTGACCATGTGCACCACAACGTCCACATCTTACTTTTGGTTTCCCTTCCCTAGATGATCTCTTCCTATTCTCAGTAGGTCTTCCAGAACTCCACTTTTGGTTAGAAGCTAAAACAATTTGGAATTCTACTTCATCGGGCACTCTCCACTCGTCTGGATTTCCAACAGGATATACCGAACTTTCGTAAGCATTTACATATGCTTCCTTTGTGTAATAATAGGAACAGTAAGAATATGCATCCCTTTTCGTATGTGCGATTATAGTCGATGCATGTGGACAAGGCATCAAATCGACCTGCAGCATCCTGCAAGTACATGTACGTTGCTCAATATCAACAACAAATGTGGACCTTTCATCGCTCACGGAGAACACTGTTTGGTTGGAAGGAGATACCTGTGAGAGTGTAATAGCACCAATGTTATATGTTAGTTTAAACTCAAAAAAGAATAGGTCACAGACATTCATATCTCAGTGCACAATGGTATGTTCAGGTCACAGGACTTCATACTCAGGTCACAGGTTTAGTATTAGTAACAAATTATATATCACGACAAACAAAGTACATAGCGTCACATACGTAAATTAGTGGTCACATGAAATTAATATTTGGACACATAAGCACATACGTACATTCCATGTCACAGACACCTATGATATAATCACATGCATATTTCTGTTTAGTCCACATACACGAACTTCAAGATACCTAAGAACCTTACCCTCAAGTTCCTTAATTCTGAACTCATTCTCCTCGTGACGTTCTTAAACTTGCTAGTCAACATCGTGAAAGTTCCATGCGCTTCGTCTCTATGTTTACAGAATCAATTTTGTACTGTTTGTCGCAATGACTCCAGCAAGAATACAATGGGGTAATTCTTAACTGCCTTTGTGACCGCATTTACTGATTCTATAATGTTTGATATCATTGTAGAGTATCTGTTTGCCTACATATGTACTCGTGATCACTTTTTAGGGCCTACTTCATCCTGCCAAAATATATCGTAGTATGAGAATAGTATAAAAGGATACATGTGACCACTTCACTGCATGTGATAATGTAGTGCTGTAGTCAGTACAGTACCAGGCAATCATGAATCTTATCATTCATTGCGTCTAGTTGTTGCATGTTGTATTCAAATTCTTCTAATGTGTAAGCCCGGACAGCCGAATTGAAAGCTTGCATAATATTTTGCTCTGATTTCCCATAATATGATTTGAGATTCTGCAGCAAATGGTACGAGCAGATACCATGGCAACTTTCCGGGTACACCTGTTCTATTGCTTTCTTTATATTGCCATGACGGTCCGATACAAAACATAATCCTTCTCTGTGCCCATATGCATTCTTCAGTTTCTCCAAAAACCATCTCCACGATTTATCGTTCTCATTATCCCCTACTCCAAAGGCAAGAACAAATATGCCATTATTTGCATCCTGTGTACATGCTGTGAATAGGGTACCTCCGTAATGACCATTCAAATAAGTACCGTCAACGACAATTACGAGCCTACAATGTTGCCACCCCTATATTGATGCACCGAGTACCATAAAACAGTACTTGAACCTATTATGACTATCGACCTCCAACTCTGTGACCGTACCAGGATTTCTTTGTCGAACCATGTAGAAGAAGCTGGGTATCCTACCGAATGATTCCGTCGGATCACCCCTAATCATCTTCAATGTTTGTTCACGGGACCTCCAAGCTTTTGAGTAATTCAAATATACTCCAAACGTATGTAGCATATCACTGCATATGTCCTCTGGTGTGTATATGGTGCCAGTCGATGTGTACTTGTACTTAATGCTAGATGACACAACTCCAGCTGATACTTGTCTGTGTGACCCCAACACCACATTTGATGCACATGTGTAACTACCAATCTTTCGAATCTTAAATAGATTTGTTTTACCCCATTTTGACGATCGGCATATCCAAGTACATCCTTCATGAGAACACCTCACCACATATTCTTTCTTGTCGGATCGTTCAACCATAAACTCAAACATATTTCGTATGGCAAAAAACGATAGGCTCAATTTTAAAATATCCTTATCACGGAAAATCCTGCCTTCTTCGACCTGAATAGCATCTGCTATAGAAACAATCGTGACTTCATTGTCACAAATGTGACCTAAATGTTTACTTGATGCTTCGCAAATTTCTGTGGCCACATCCTGCAACGTATAAAGCTCACTGTTACAATAAGCATTATCTGTGACCATGTCAGACGGGTACTGCATTACTGCATCAATTAAGTCAATGATTAATGGGTATTTAGCTGGATCACGATCGACTTCTTTCAACAGAATGTATGCAAGCACGTTGCTGTCATTTTTTATCCTGATTGCAAGCAAATCGTCGTTGAGTATATACTTCAATGATACTGCTACCTTGGTCGGATTCAAGCTGAACTCTGACATAATCATGTTTACAAGGTTTATATAACTGCATCCACGGTCTACCAACGCCAAAGCTGACTGAGATCCATGCAACAAACATACGTGCAAGTACACCATTTCTGCAAAATTGAACTTCAAAGCATCACATTCTCGATGGTTAATTTAATACTGTGCATACAGTTTTATATAAGAATTTATGCAATAACATGAAGTCACTATTGACACGGAAAAATGCAGGTCACATTTGGCGACACATAGGTCACATCTCATGAACAAAATTGGTTTCATTCTCTTCTCCAATTCGCTCTTCTCCAATCCGCTCACACGTTCACATATGTGACATGCGTATGGATACTGTTGTGTCGAGTGGTCATATTTTGGTCAAATATTGGATCATATTTTGGTCAAACATCGGAATAGGTCACACACGGGTATGATCAGTGGTAATATAACATGTCTTACAAATAATCAAAAACAAATTGAGGTCACATTTTTTTCACAGCAATCACATTCAATCGACCACATTTGTTTTAGTGGTCACAGACATCCACAATCGATGCTACACTTGTCTACGACTGGTTACACTCAATTAGGTCACATCTCATGCATGTTGTTCATGTCCCACTGCACAATATTATTGAATTTGAGACATATGTGGTTACGATAGATACGGACGCTGGAAATTTGCGTACAGAAGAAATTCAGAACTAATTTGATGATGCTAATTGCGAAAAAGGAAGGAGTGCAATAATCGGACTAATACCTGGATTGATTTCTGTTATGCGAAGACGTCAATTTCTCCAAGACGATCCCAAATCCGTGACACGAAAATATCAATGTCGATGAATTAGGATTCTACAGTGTCCGGATTGAAATTACTCTGGAAGTTTTATTTTTGATGATGATTTTGTAGCGATAGAGACGTTTTATTGATGGAAACTAGGCGGGATTATAGGAAAGATACGTAACAGAAATATATATACACACACACACACACACACACACACACACACACACCTGAGATTTGAATATATACTTTCTATACCTCAATTGCAAAATGGTGTTAACTATACACCTTATATATGAATTTTTCCCAATTTTTTTTTTCGCGTATAAGCCCGGCTTGAATTTTTTTGGCCCGGTCTTGAATTCAAATCTGGATTCATCCCTGCTTTTTACTACAGAATTATTTCAACCACATATTCATTTAATAAAATATTTTACACGTAAATCTAAAATTTTTCTTACTTTTTAACCACATATTTTCTTAAAAATACTATTCAAAACTCTATTTTTTTTTTCAAAATAACAGACAATTTCTCCCGGTAAACAATTTTCAGCCCTGCATTGTGCCGCTTCGAATGGAGCAAGAAATCCCCATCTTGCATAGTAAATGGGACGAGAACAAAGAACATGGCCTTTGCCTCGAACTCTTCAAATCCATCTCGAATCTATTTATTTTATTATATTTATTTTAATTTTACATTTTTCAATTTAAAGAAAAAAAAGCCATCTTTAAGCTAGATGAGTCCAAAAAATTGTGCATACTAATTTAGTAACTAGACCCACATTAGCCATTAATCCAATAAATGGGTCCAAAAGTTGGAAAAAATAATCAATATCCAATAACGCCTAAGCCTCCATTAGGCAGTCAAAAACACTGTCCATATTTGAGGCGTTTTGTAAATGCCTCAAGTAATTAGTTTACAGATATTATTCTCTCTAATTTCTTTCTTCCTCCACGTCTTTTGTCATGGTATCAAAGTTAAAATATTTCTAGTGATTACGCAAAATAGAGTTCGTGTTTTCAGATATGTTGTCATGGGTACGAAAATAAATAAATCCAAGAACCTACATTCTTCGCACTCTTCTAATTTTGTCAATGAATCCATAACCACCATGCTTTTTAACTGATGTACACTACGATTGCTGATGACTACATGATATGTACTTGGGTATTTCTTATTCAGTGTAAAATGAAACTCATTCTCGTGTTAAGTCATTTCATTCGTATGTAGAAACTCAATTTCATAGAAAAATTAAAACCTTTTGTTCTGATTTTGGAGTGAAATTTGATATTAAAGATCTTTTATCAAACAAAAGGCTCTGTGCACCATCATAGTTTTGTTAACACTCCATAACAAAACAGGGGTTGTGGAAAGAAAACATGGTCATTTGCTAAATGGAGCTCGTGTCTTTCACTTTCATGCAAGTATCATAGATAAGTGTATTTTATATACTTATTTGGACTTCTATACTTGCTTATTTATTTCTAATTAAGCAAGATCCACCCAATTGGATAACACCTTGATTTGGATGCAAATTGGAGCATAGTTGGAGTTTATTAGGAGAAACTGGCTATCAGCCGGATTGCTATTGTGCAATATGAATTAAGGGTTTACTTTACCATATTGCACAATTATGTGATTGCTATTGATATTCGAGAGAATGAATAGGAATTTGGCATATAGTAATATTCAGTGTAAAGTTTAATACGAAATGGAGATATACAACTATGATTTGCATGATTTTATGAATGTTCTCGTGATTTAATACATCTTTACATATTCTCATCTTTATTGAAGTTATAGGAGGGTCATATGTGAGGATATAGTTTTACTCAAAAGATTCATATTCGAACAGGTAATGTCAACTAATGGTATTGATATTTAAATGAATGTAGGAGGATTTGAAGTCCTAGAGTTTGCCAATTACATAAGCTTCATAAAGTCTTTCCATCAATTAGCTAAATTAATTACATTAGCTTTAGATTTAATTTGTTAAGATAAATCATTAGGTTTCATAAAATACTTAATTTGTTAAGATAAATCATTAGGTTTCATAAAATCCTTAATAATCGTTATAGGTTAATGAAGTTCGAGAAAATGTAAATGAAATTATTAATTAGCTAGCACACATTAATCCCGTCAATTTCCACGCGCAAGGGCATGTCGAAGTGTGTGGGAAAAACAACTTCACTAGTCTTTTTCACCATACGTGTCGCTGATTAATTTCTTAATTAACAATGTTTTTATTTGAAATAATAAAAAAATAAAAAAAGAAATATTCTCATTTGACTATGGATTTAATGATTTTCTACATAATTAGTTTCCACGCATGGCCAGGATATGATTATAATTTTTCACTTCTCGTCTCCTCATAAAATTAAATGGGCAGGACAATGGATTTTGCCTATTGGATATTGTTCAAATTAACAATGAGGAATAATTAAAGAGAAGAAGATAAATTGATATATAGAGGATACATTTTGAACGCTCTCTACGATCATCTACATGATCTCCACAAATAACACCTCGATAAAAGAAATATGAGAATCAGTGGAAACCAAATACGAGGCCGAAGAGGAATGTACGAAAAAGATCTTATTTCTAGCATTTTGACTTAAAGTTTTTGAATAACTTGCCTTTGTTAGGACAAGTCCATGAATTGAAAATCATCGTCGATAAAATGATGGCCTTGAAGATTGATCTTCCCAAAACTTTCCAAATTGGTGCAACCATTGTGAAATTGTCATTTTCATGAAAAGGTTATAGGAAGAAAGTCCTTCACAATTCCCAAGATTATTCTTATGAAGAAATTCAAAAACATCTTCAACTTGAGAAAAAGTCAAAGGTACGAGATAGGAATGAACATTTTCATTAGGGCCACTAAATTGATAAAAATGACTTCAACCTATTGTTTGTTAAAAAAATATATAGCGCAATCGCACAGGTAACGTAAAAGTAATAAAGTGGACAAACGATTTTGAATTGTCAATTCCACAAAAAATAATTACTTAGTTACCCGATAGTTAAATTTAGTTTTAATATATTTTGTAGAATTTTAAGCTATTTTCATAATTTGAAAAATTCAAATTTATTGTATGTTTTATTGTTAAAATTAAATTAAAATTTGAATTTTGCAACGGAATACAATAAATTTAATTAAATGGATTTTACAACGAAACACACAATAAATTTAATTAAAATTTGGATTCTCGTAACGAAACACAATCCATTTCTCTGAGGTACCAAAGGTGAATAAAATTCATTTAATTAAATTTATTGTGTGTTTGGTTGCAAAATCTAAATACTAATATAATTTTAATGACGTAACATACAATAAATTTGAATTTTTCAAATGATGAAAATAGCTTAAAATTCTACAAAAATGTTAAAAATTAAATTTAATTATTGTGTAATTGATTAATTATTTCTCGTGAGATCACTTTAATTCTTTTACGCGACCCGTGTCATTACGCTACATATTTTTTAATGAACAATAGGTAGAAGCCTTGTTTATAAGTTTAGTAGCTAAAATTCGACTACCTTAAAGTCCAGTAAGCAATCGAAGACCTTTTTCAAAATTTAATGAACAACCGAAGATGGTTTTCAAAGTTCAGTCAGCAACTAAAGACATTCTTCAAAGTTTGGTGAGCAATTGAAAGGTAACAATTTGTTAAGGGCGTGAGGGGAACCACGTGTATATTCCATTAGCCAAGTCACTAATTCAGTTAAAGAATTCGAACAGTTGTTAACGTAATGAGTAACGTCCAACGTTTTAATAAATTTAGTAACCAAAACTCGACATCTTAAATTCCAGTGAGCAATCGAAGATATAGACATAGTTCAGTGACCAATGGGACAATTAACTATTTGTTTACTCCTACAAGCTATTTGTCATAAAGCCTTCAAGCACTTACCTCAATAGTGGCAAATATCGTTTGAGGATGACGATTTATAATCATGTTCAAACCTTCCATTTTGATGATTTCTTCTTGTTGGTTTTATTTTCATCCTTCATCAACTTTGTTCAACATTGCCATCCCTAATTTTGATTTATTCCATTTACACACCAATTAGGTGAGTCTATCACGCCATAGGGGAGGCAAGCTAGCTCATGTTGACCTTTTTTGAAATTATGGTTATGTTTTAGATAATTAACAATAAACACGAAAGTGTTTCGGAGTAATTTTTCACTCCAAAAAATTGATTTTTTGACCGTTATTTCATTATTCCAACCGTAAAGTTTGACTTCTTCTTTCACATGTGACCCCCATTTTTCTCTTAACGATCATAAAATTAATTCTCAAAATCTCTTTCAAATGGGACCTAACAAGAAAATCATGGGACACTTGACAAATAGATGTCCATATCTTAGTAAGAGCAGCTTTAATATTATAGTGGCGACTATTTCAACAAGAGACATTGCGTCAATCGCCATCCAATCTATTAATATTTGATATTTTTAGTGCTTATGAGTTCAAATTTCTATGGTTTTATTTATATAAAATACGGTCAGGCTTCATTTGGAGACTTTTGCGAGGTTTATTCATTTACACTTAAATCGGAATCCTGTCTTTGTATAAATATATAAATTATTCAGTAAATTAACAAGATTAATTGATTCCATCTACGTTCATTGACAATAAAAATTGAAATTTTCAAGACAATAAAATCATATCGAAGACTTTGAAAGTTATACTTGGGACTTCCCCTGGTGTTGCGACGACATGTCAACTTTAAATCCCTAAATTCTAATTGCCATCGTTTCAACTTACAAGCTTTCTATAATTCTTGTAATTAGGGGTCGCATTGGATCAAGTTCGAACTCAACTCAACAATCGAACTGACGGTTCAAATTGGGAGAATCTCAACCCAAAATCAAACCGACAAGATAAATAAATCGATTGAAACTAATTCGAGCTAGCTCAATAGCCAACCCAAAAACCAAACCATCCCTCCAAACTATCATATTGAACTGACTCGCGGTTTGGGTTGATTAGATAGGTATTTTGCCAGCCCTCCTTGAAAGCATCACACGGTATCACATATTTAACTATTTGATTCTTACATCCAAATCAATCAGAGCAAGGCAAAATTCATTCATTCATATCAGAAGCAAGAATATTTTCGATAAAATCAAGAATGCAATCGACCCACGATCTCTCCTGAAAGTTTGACAAAGCCTGTTTTGAAAGGACACGAGCCATGCCATTTGCTTCACATTGAATAAGATATAATGATAAAGCTAGGAACAATGATGGTGAGACTTCGAGGCATGGATGCTAGGATTATGAATCGCATCAATGACATGTAACATGCTCTATAAATCTTTTGTGTTCTTATGTGTCACTTAATTACTGCAATTTTAGTGTTCTTTGTTGTATAGAATTAGAATTAAAGTATTTTTCAGCTCTCTTAAGTAAATTATAACTTGCAACTCTACAACCAACTTACAAGTAAATTTACTTTAAAATAAAACTTTTGAGCGTAGTCAAACATGCTACACTGTTCAACTTGTGCTTTTAGCAGGAGTACCAATCACTAAAAGCAAGTCAATTTTGGACGATAAAATGAGAACACACTAAATTTTAATGAAAAAAAAATGGAGGATGGGAAAAGGAGAGAATGAATTTGTTGTAATACAAATTTTCTAATTTAACAATGTAAACTATAAAACAATACAAGGGGATATCAGAAAATTGTGACGAAACCGAAAATGAAGCATAAATATCAAAAAAACATGTTAAGCAGTAAAGAAAATTTACGTACAACAGGCTGGGAGCTAGGCAGAAGCTATGAAAATCAGCATTAAAGTCTTCTTCGGTGATAAAACCATAAACTTCTCTGTCTTCCAGGTGCAATCTGATTTCCAATATTTCTTATATCAAGTCCGCCATGAGGATTAATGGCTAGTTGCCAAAGCAGTTACCAATAGTCCAAGTATAAGAAATGGTTGCGCACTTGCCTAAGATAGAAAGATACAACAAGAATAAAGTTTTACAATTATTTCATGTAAAATTAAGACAACTTTATTTGATTTCATAACAATAGGTGAGGATTTCGTCCTTATGATGCCTTACTGTTTGTTGGTGGATGGTGCTTATGATTGTGTCTTCGTCACTTGGTTCAGTTTTTTCGAGAACCAGACCAAACCCAATCCAATCCAATCCCATCACATTTGCACAATTGCCAAACAATGATTATCAGGTTTCTAATTATTTGACAGTGTCATTTTTTCAGAATTGAAGGTCAAGGATTCTAATTATTCTAATGGGATGAGGTGTACGTGGGTTGAGGATTCTGGGATGGACATCACCTCTAGATGATCCTACGATGGGTTCCAAATCCATCAGCAGGGAGAATCTGGTAGAAACTCAATGCTTATACATTTTCTTGCTCCTAAGAGTACCTTCCCATCCATGCACGTATATGACAATTGAAGGAACCTTGATAGGGATGTTTCAGGGACAGATTTTTGGAAGGAAACGAAGGTTGAGTATAAGCATTCAGATGAAACTGACGGCATCAATTGAGTATAAGCCTCCGTTTGGCCCCCATTATTTCTCATTAAATTAAATTAAATTTTTCTCTTTCCTATTTTTAACCACACAATCTTTAATAAAATAATATTACACGTAAACCAAAAACTTTTCTTTTCTTTTCAACCACTCATTTTTCAAAAAAACACTATTCAAAACATTATAATTTCCAAGTAATGGGGCTCAATTGGGGGCTTATAGATCTCTCAATACGCAAAATTGATTTTCCATCCACTAGTTGCACTTGGAATCTTAAGAAAGCAATACTTGTCAAAATGTTGATATGACCTCACAAGTGATTGATTTGTACCTATTCCTACAGAAGGAAAGATGAGTACCTGATATTTAACATCATTTTTAACCGGGTCTTTGAGGAAGTACTTGAACTGCAATGGCATACAATCTTGAGTCAGAACAGCTTAATTTCCAGCAAGTTATATGCACAACAAAACATAAGCATACAAGGGTCTTAAGCCCCCTCTTCCACACACACACAAAAAAAAAAAAAAAAAAAAAAAAAGGGTCCCCCCCCCCCCCCCCTTTCAAATTCTTGTTGGTTATTTTCCCATATGCTAATCTTCAAAATGGTGAAATTATTTATAGATTTCCGTTCCTCGTACTCATATTAGTATTAGAAAGAATTTGCAGAGCTCATCATCAATGATAGCCAGATATTTGACGCTACTAAGTTTTACCTGGAAAAAGATTTGTGGGGCGATTAAGCCTAGAAGTGCCAAAGCATAATATGGTTTGCCAGAAGCTAGAAGATAGCCTGCAACAAATAGAAAATGCTACAATGAGGAAATTGCCAGCAGAAGCTAACCATCCACGGCTACATCACAAAACCAATTTTAATCATGGTGTAAAAAAAAAAGGGAAACAAAACACGTGTCATATTTCAAGGATGACTACAATTTCAACTATTGTTTCGATGGCCCTTATGGCTTCTCCGTGAAACTATCCACTTTTTTGCTTATTTCCTCAAGTTCCACTCAACAATGTGTTCAATTAGATAGAAAGAAAGAGCTGAATTCTTGACTGGCAAAATTCCATAAGATCCTCGAAACTACAAAACATTAAAAAGAAAAGCATAAAACAAAAGTCTTCTGAATATCATTAACTCACATTCCTATTTCAGTTGATAAAATTTATGAAGTATGTCAAAAGATTCTGAAACCAAATCAATTCGGATATTACTAGACAGATACTAAGTTGAGTAGCAAAAGCTCGTATGGCTGGACGCAAAACCATTATAGTAAACATTGCAATTCATATTACTACGTTGTAACCAGAAACAAGTTGCTCATGGGAGTTGTTTTATGTGGCATCAAAGACTTCCGTAATAAATTGACACTGAAATCGATGGTACCAATTACCTGCAACAGATAACTGAGTTATGTCGATGGCACCAACGCAGATCCATTTAGCAGTTTCAGTGCCAAAAGCTACAGGAAGTGACTGTAAGGGTGTCACCACAAAAGGATTACACAAGTACACGCTCTCCTCTGTATATAACGGTATCTAACTGAAACTATCAAGTCAAATTTAGTAATAGAAAGAACCTGTAGCCCCATTTTCCTATCTCCTTCAATGCTTTTGAAGTCATTTACAATTGCAATGCCAAGCTAAAACATAAAAAAGAAAGATAAGAAAAATGTAAGTAGACCTTGTACACAACAAATAAAAAGCATCGCTAAAATCTGAGGTGATGTCAACTTGCAGGTTCACAAGGGCATAAAGGATGTTAAATACCCCAGCAATGCTGTACAGCAGTGTTAGAACTATAACGTCGGGCGTAAGGGTCCCAAACAGAGCTTGACCAGCCCACCTGTCATTCAGAATCAAGACAAAATGTTATACAGCATATAATGACTTAGTGAACTTCATTTCACATATTACAGCCAAAAAAGAAATGTATTATATAAATAGCATGCATTGATATCACAAGACATTTCTGATAATTATTTTTTGAACCCTTATGCAACATCATTCCACATTTTAACCGTTGAATTCACCAGCTTTCACATTTTTATGTACAAAAATATCTGGAAAAATTTTAACTCCAAATTTAAAGTAATTAATAAATATAATGATATCTCCTCACGTTGGCCTCGTGCATAATATTAGTGAATAGCACAAAATTCTTGCAAAAGGCAATCGTCCAAAGGCATTTCAATTTTATATTCCCATGGCATTTAAGTGGCCCTATAACATTAAATTCTTGTTCATACAATTTATGCAAATAGCAGCTGAGTTGAGATGCCACACCAAGGTAAACTAATATAGCTTGCTCCCAAGGCAAAATTGCCAATCCATCCATTCTGTTTAAGCTGTGATACAGAAGAATAGGTTTCAGTTTTCAAATATTCATCCTTTTTCCAAAATTAAAGAAACCAAACCTTACATATTGGGTGCAAGAATGCGATGAACTACCTTAAGTGGTGGAGCTGAGTAGATGTACGATAACAAGGATCCACCGACAGCGAGGTAAAATATCACTGGGAAATTATGCCCTGCCTATAAGGTGAGAGATTTTAGGGTGAATTGTAACCATTTACTAGTGAAGAGATGGCATTTTTGAAGACCTACCCACACATCTAATAAACCAGCCAAACCGAGACCTCCAAGAAGCAGCACCCAGATTTGCGTAATCACCTGGTAATGTTAGTAATTAAGAATGAAGAAGTGTAGGGAACAAGGAGAATTTGATGATCAAGTGTATCCAAAATAACACCCTGAAACATGATATACCTCATCCTCAGATATCGCTCCTGAAGGAATAGGACGATAAGGCTCATTAATGGCATCAATCTCTCTATCATACCAATCATTCATTGTCTGGAGAAGAAACATAATCAGAGACAGATCATATTCTAAAGCACATGCTCTTGTTGCAAAGCATCAACATTACATTAATGTGAGAAGTACCTGAGTGTAGCCAGTTAGAAAGGGGCCAGACAGAAGCATACAAACAATTGATTTAGCTACATCTTCTAATGTCCAGTGGAAGTTCCCTGGCATAAAGTAGCAGACCGAAGAGGTAGTCAATGTATGCATAGTAAGCCCTTGTTTGGGCTCCATTTTAATGAGGTTTTGGATAAAAATGTATTTTGCAATAGTGATTTTTTGAAGAACATGTGGTTAGAAAAGAATGAAAAGTTTTGTATCTACATGTAATATTATTTTATTGAAAAATGTGTGATTAAAAGATAAGAAAAAAAGATGAATTTTGGATACAATGAAGCCCAAACAGGGGCTAAAAAAATAATAAAAATCATTCACCACATTTATTAAGAAAATACAGGAAAATCATGCTCGTTTCTAACAAAGTCTAAGACTTTATTTTGGGCATACAACTCAATTAGTAGATAATTTCATGATTTCGGGTAAATATAATAAAATAGAAGAAACGAAAACAAGGCAATCAATAAGCCTATTTTCCAGATAAGATTAAAATTTACCAAAGATTCTAAAATCTTGAAACACCACTAAATATATATTGCGTCTTAACAGACAATGCAGTATTTAATACATTCACAAAGTTACCACCTTAAAATAAAATTAATGGCAGAAATCATGAATTGACATGAAAATTTCCCTCTCATTGAGCGAAGTACCTCAGAGCTCAAACTCCCAATTCAACAAAGGGGATAGTGTAATGCTAAACAACCAGCCTTCAAATAACCGAAATTTTGGGACTGGTGATTGTTAGATTATGTACATGAAGGTGATTAAAATATAATCACTTACTTTTTATCCACACTTTTCATAAAATCGAAAACTAGTACGCACTTATTATCTACACAATATATAGGAGCCAAAACTTATAATTACTTAAATTCTATTTTATTCACCGACGAAACATGCATTGCAGTGTAATAACATGAAAGTGTATGTCCAGATACCAGATGCAGCAGCTCCACAAACCACACCCCACACAAGAGGCGGCCATGTAACAGGCTTTGTAAGTTGAACCCGGATTTTCCACTTATCCTGTTGAACACATGTCAAAGGGATCAAACAATTGTATTGCTATATGTATGACCAAAAGCTTTTCAGTATCCAAGAACCCTACTTCTTTAATTTATACATCTCCCATCATTATTCCATACAGTAATTATTTAATCATCATTAAAATTCAGATTAGTGTTCGACTAAAAAGAAAGCTCGAAATTTTAATCATGACAACAACAAAGCCTGCAGCATTGTAACAATATGCATCATGAGAAAACAATTGATAATGGATGAATCTTTCAAGATAGACCGGGGAATTTCATCTCAAGCCAGTACAAACTACATATACAAAGTTAAGCTCCATGTTTTCTCCGAAGCATGCAAACCTGTTACTTACCTAGTTTTCTTTAGTCAAATGAACAATGGTTTGTGGATACATTCAGTCAAATGTACTCTTTATAGTCAGTCCCTCTTATTGAGCGTTAGATGGCATGCACAATAACCCATACAAATAGCAGTATTCACTTTTAACATTTGTTTCGAAATAATTTCTTGTCTAAATTGAACTTTTTAACCATTTAAGCTTACAAAAAGCTATTAATTTATATATTAATGGAGCAAATTGATGACTCACGGTTTCTTGTTTAGCTCCTTTGATACCAAGAATCTGATTAATGCCTGAGCCACTCTCAACCGGCGCCTTATCTGGTGCCTTTGCTCTCACTGCACACGTTACCCCAAAACCTCCTCAAAAAACTCAAATCCCAAATTCAACCAATTTTGCCATTTTTCCACGCAGATAAACTAAACCATCATTCAAATCAACCTTCAAAACCCAGAAAAATTAAGTTTTGAAAAAGAAAATCCATCAAACCTTCGTCTGTATCTGTTTCTGTAGCTTTCACCACAAGCCTCCGTCCTGAATCAATTCAATGCAAGTAAATAAGATACAAGGATTAAAGTAAACAACTTTTTAGAGGTTAAAAGAAATGAGTTACTGCTGAAAGAAAGAGAAACTGGCGGGGCAGAAAGCTGTGGATTTCGAAGCGGGTTGGACGATAAGCTTATTGAGTAGACAGTGTTTAGTACGGAAGCCATAGCCAAAGCTTAGTTCTTAGTTTTGAAGGCCCCGTTTTGTGATGATAACTCTATTTGCCTATCTCTGTACGACTGTACAGTGTGCTAGTCGCCAAAGTTTTAAGGACCTTTTCTTTTTCTTTTTTTTTCTTTTTCTTCCATTTTTTTATTTATTTGTCTTTTTTACTACAACTATGCTTATCGAATTAAAATCTAGATTTTAATATAAATTAAAGTAAAAATTAATTTTAACCAAATATTTCATTACATTCATAACTTTTTAACCACACATTTCATAAACTTTTATCAAAATCTTCTCGAATTCTGATTTTAATCCTTGCCAAACAAAGGCATTAACAATAAATAAAAGATTATCCAATCATTTATAATCTATAATATTTTAAATTGCATGCCTCCAAGTAATATCACCGTGATTTGGATTGAATCTCAAAATAACAAGTTCAAGGTCATCAAAATTAAAAAATCGAAAAGTCTGATTTCTAAGAGTATCTAGTTGCCTTCTTCTTATTGGTATTGGAGGAGTTTTTCAAATGATAAAAAGTAAGAAGTTAGGAAGATTGAAAGTTAGCAAAGTTATATCTTCTTTTAGGCATATTCAGATTTCATCCCCATATTTTTAACTAAACAAACAAAGAAATAAAAACAAAAGTAGGACAGAATAGGACAAATTTCTCCGATGAAATGGGCTTGTTGTATACTTTCATATTCACTTTGCTTAATTAGTGAAACATAATTAGCTATTTTATTTTTTCTAAATTTAATTAAATCACATGAAATATGGATTCATAACTTTATCAATTTTTCAATCACAAATTTTATCAACTTTATCAAAAGTTAATAAAAATATATTTTTTAACAAAATCAAACAGGAGCTTAATATCTAGACTGAACTAAGAAGTATATCAAAAGATTTAAAAACAATTTAATTTTGTCAAAAGAAATAATTTACTCATTTCTAACATTGATCAATACACTATATTTATTTAAAATTTGCTTGTTAATTATAGGTAAATCTTTAGCGTAATTCTTAAACCATTTAAACTTTGCTAGATATGCTTTAGGTCTCTCTTTTAAGTAGACTCAGTGAAATGAAAAATCTTGTAATCAGCATAATCAGAATCTCATTACTCGTATTATTCAAAATAGAACAATCCAACTAAAAACATCAATAAAAGACTCTTTATTTCAAAAAGTCAAAATTTTAATTAGGCCCCAAAAGATTATTTATTTTAAATTTTTGGCATAAATGACTAATTTGACTCTCTACATTTGTAGACCTAGAATCACTCTCTTCCAGCTTACCTCTCTAAATTAATATTCCAATAAGTAGTAACATCTAACATTTAGCCCCTCTTTGATTTAGCTAAAAATTAAATTTTTAGTAGATTTTAATAAAAATTAATTAAATATATAGTTAAAAAGTTGATAGAAGTTGTGAACCTTATAAAATGCGTAACTAAAAATGAATTTAAGTGAACAGAGACCAAACAAGGTCTTAATAAATATGTCAGGTAACTGATCGATTTTGCATCATAATTTAATATTTTTGTTATTTAATAAGTAATACAAATTATTAGGAAAAAAAATTAATTAGTATAATTAAATTTCTTAGAGAACCATCTATCTAGAGTAGTGTGTTTCTTCCCAATTGTCCTAGTCTCAAACTATGTACTTTGGAGTAACTTATAAGATACAGTATGGATGAATGAATTTGAGAAGTCGATAAGATAAGAGAAATACACGAGTGAAGGGTGCCTAATTTATCTTTGTTGGACAAAGGGGCATCACGGTATCTTCTTCAACTTCCTTTTCACGAGGTCTTGACGATACAATTGCGATGAGATGTTCATCCGATAATTCCTCATGTACCATACTTGCATTTCATTTTTATTGACGATGTATACCGACCTCATTGGTAATTTACAAACAATAAATATATAAGACTAAATTAGCATGACGATGACTTTCTAATTACCTAGAACTATGTAATGACATTAGCAAATCTAATGAAGTAATTTTGAAGTAAATATTCTACAAATCAATAATATTCATTAATTAATAAATTATTGTGTAAGACATCTTATTAATTTAAAGGGGTCATACTGTATTTGTATTTTATCATCCTTGCATTTAATAAAAGTGTAAGTTTCAATGCTCCAATATTTGAATTATTCATATAATATTGAATTTTTATACAGCTAAAATAATAAATAGTTGTTGAAAAAAATATAAAGATTAGAAAGTAAAGAACTTGTTGGAGTTTATAACAAATTTAACTACTTAAATTTACAAATACTCTCTAAAATGTTTTTTGAAAATAAAGAATATTTTTGAGATATTCTAAAACATTGTGTTGTTTAAAAGAATTTGAATATGCATCAGGTTTATGCTCCACTATAAGAATGCCTATGTTCTCACCAACAAAGTTCTTGTTACAAGGAAATTATTATTCTACATTCATATATGTGGAGTTGTATGTGGAGAAATTAGTGGTGAAATAATGTGTGTGGATAGAGAGATGATTATTCTCATAAATCAAACAACCAACGATTTAGGCCAAAATTCTATTTTCTAACCAAATTAACAAAACTGCCTATAACCATTCATAATCATATTTGTGAAAAGTGGTGTTTCTCAAAACACTCTAAAACGAGTGCTACTTTTGTCAATTGAGTTTTCGGCTTACTTGGAAAATTCTGCCTAATTGGCACTCGATTATTGGATACTTGATACTCGCTTGGATTGTGCTAGTTGAGACTCGTTTTGGACCATTGGATTAAATCAACGGCTGAGATCATCCCTGGGATGTGAGCCGTCCTATTACACCCAAAAGCCTCGTGACTTTTGGGGGTAGATTCCAGATTTTTTTCTCTCCCTCTCTTTGGCGTCTCTCTCTCTGCTTCCTCTTGAGTTTGTTTGAGTCTGTAAATTTTCTCTTAGTATATGATTTTTGCGATCTGGTTATGGAGTTTATATTTTGGGTTAATGATCAGGCCTGAGAGAGTGGCTGATCTTGTACTGTAAAACTCCTAAACGATTGGTTGATTTTGTGTTTGTGTGTTTCACGAGATTTTTTAGATCAGTGACTAAAACTGTAAGATCTGAGTGGTTCTTGATGCACTTTTGCTCTCTTGAAGTTAGATTGTGCCATAGTGGAACGGGCTATCCTTGAACCCTCCCAGATTAGGCCTATTTACGGCTGAACTGGGTCAACAACTTGGTGTTCTTGTGTTATTTTTCTGTTCTCATTGTGTGTTGTCAATTTTATTGCAAATTTAGTTTACAAATCAACCGAAATTCTTTACAAATTGGTATCAGAGCCTTCTGGCTTCTGGGTTCGGTATACTCTATATAAATCCAGTGTTGGGTTATTTTTTTTAGGTTTCGAATAGTGTAGATCGTTTTTCAAATCTACACAAAGGCGGTTCGGTTATTTATTTATTTTTTTGGATATTCTTTTTGGCAATTACTGTTACTTATTCATTTGGGTTTTTTGGAAGGTGACTTAGAAAGGAGGTTCGAGTTTACTGGCTAGTTTGAATGCTTTATATATAAAATAGTCACTGCAGTAATCTGGTACGATCTGACCATTACACTCTTGGATCTGGTTTGACACGGATTATTCATGATATAGTTTATTTCATGATGCATGTTGTTCTTGATTTAGTGAACTGAAATACTATACTTGTTATCTATCTACCACCCTATGATCTAGTTATAGAACCTGCCTTGCACCTTTGAGATATCTGACTGAAGTTTTGATATATCTGCTTTCCATCGAATTGGGACAATTTGACCTTCGAACCCATTACAGATTCTGTAAAAGGGTGGGTATTACTCATGGATATTGCAGAAAGTTTTTTTTTTTTTTTTGTATCAAGCTGTTTCAAGAAAACCAATAATAGACAGTTTCAAGAAACCCAAAAAATTCAATAACAACTTTTCAAAGATTGAGGTAGAATACAACACATATTTGACAGTATATATATATATATATATATATATAAAACTTTCTGCTATAGTTTTTATTCTCGTTCTTATAAGAATGGGAATCAAACGGGGGTTAAGTATTTGTTTGGGAAATATTTTTCTTTTTCAAAATTGTTTTCCCTCGAAATCTTTTTCTTTCAACCACATATTCTAAGAGCCGTAATTTTTTTCCTACCAGTTTCACACTTATCTCACTAAATCAGTGAGAAAGTGCTCCGCGATGGGTCGCGGGCTCAAAATGGAAGTTTTTGGCCCCGAGAAGAGTGTTTTTTGGAAAAATTTGAAAAAAAAAAAAAAAAAAAAAAAACTTTCTGCAATATCCATGAGTAATACCCACCCTTTTACAGAATCTATAATGGGTTCGAAGGTCAAATTGTCCCAATTCGATGGAAAGGGGGACTACTCTATATGAAAGCAGAAAATGAGGGTCATTTTGGTCCAACATAGGTTTGTGAAACCCTCGATGATCCTGCAACTTTTTCTGATGAGTTAAAAGCAAAACCTAACGAAATTGAAGAAATGAATGAGATTGCCTATAGTTCTATAAACCCGCATTTATCTAATAATGTGGTTAGACAAGTTGATGATTCTAAAACTACAAGAACTTTGTGGACTGCCTTGGATGGTTTGTTCTTAACCAAAACTCTTCCTAACAAGATATATCTGTTAGAAAAACTATTTAGTTTTAAAATGAACCCAAGAAAGGATTTGGAAGTCAATTTGAGTGACTTCAGTATTATAGTTAAGAGTTTAGCACACAATGATAAAAAATTTGAAGATGAGTACTTGGCTGTTATTATTTTAAATTCACTGCCTGAATCTTACAAAGATGTTAAGAATGCCATAAAATATGCTGGGGACACTCTTACACAATCGATTGTAATAGATGCTTTAAGGTCAAGAGAGTTAGAAGTTAGGAGAGAAAACAAAACCAACTATAGAGAAGAGAGCCTATTTGTAAGGGGAAGAACTGAAAAGAAGGAATTTAATTTCCAAAACAAGAAAATGAAGGAGAGATCTAAAAGCATATCTAAATCTAAAGATAGAAGTAATAAGAAGTGTTATAACTGTGGAAAGTTGGGACACTTCAAG